GGCTATCCTCAGGTCTCTGGTTCTGAGCTGCAGCCTTTTCCCATATAACTGGTTTTTATACCACTTATCAGCTTCACTATAAACACAAATTATATTTTTCAACTGATATTAAGAGAACAAAAACATTAATGACTAGAAACAGTGAATTTGCTGGTGGCCCCTCACCAGACAGATACAGTATGCATACGTCCCCTTTTTATTTCTCTACTTAAAAGTGGCCTCACTTAAAACATATTTTTATTTGTCTTTTCTAACTGGTTTTTACTGATTTCCAGTCTTATGAGAATTTCTTTTAAGTCTCTTATGAAATATCTTTATGAATTTGTTATAATTTATCATACTGGTCATTTAATTCTTTCTCTTCGCCTATATTTAATCAGATATTGACCACAACTTTGAATTGAAAGAATGGGTGTTAAGGAAATTCTTTGAAGAAAAAAATTCTCTGTGTAAGGTGTATAAGCCCATGAAATACTTGTGAGGACATTTATGATTGTTTCTTGGCTCTGACACTTTACTTTGGAAACACAGACTTCAGAAACTAATTCTCTGAGCTACAGATTATTTTGTCTCAGAGATAATTACAGTTGCCCATCATTCTTAGAAGTTTTCTGTGAGAATTAAGTAAAATGCCTCCTTAAAAGCACATTGAGGGCTCTCCCTAGTGGTGCAACAGGTTAACCGCCGAATTATGAAGCTCTCTGAAGCCACTGCAGTGGAGTTCCAGACCCAGGCTGACCCACATGGTGTGGCAGACCTCTTCCGACCCACCCGCTGCTCCCCTCAGCAGTGTACTTTGTCAGTCTGCCTGTTCTGGTCCCTACTCTTTCGTTGGTGAATCCTCTAACCCACCACACCTCTGGCCTGTACCCCAGTTCTGTAAGCATAAATAAATAATTTTTTTTTTTTTTTAGAAAGCACATTGAAAAGTTAAACTACTATGCAAATGAAAAAAGTATAGTTATAGGGATACTTGGTACAAAATAAAATACCACCTCAAATACCCTGGAAGTGGATTTATGCTTTTTCACTATCACCAAAAGACAGACAAAATCAAATTTCAAAAATGTAAGGTAGTTATATTAGCTAATTTAATTCACTTTTATTTTATCTTGGCTGACATTTTATCATTAAGTTTAATTTGCTATATGGCAAATTACTATTTTCATATCTAACATGGACTATGTGGCTTTATTCCATGAAGCATTTGCTGTATAAAGTCAAATAAGTAATTATTGTGTAGCAGTCTTTTGATTTACTGTGATTTTCTTCATGTATTCAAACTCTGTTTAAATCTTTAATTTACATATGCACATATAGTATTTTCTAAAATGAATTAAAGTAACATTTTACATTCAAAAACTTTATAATCTAATTTTTTTTAAGATTTATTTATTTATGCATACAGAACTGGGGTATAAGCCAGAGGTGTAGGGGCAGTGAAAGGATTCACCAGAAACAGAGAGGGGAACAGAACAGGCAGATCTACAAAGTATACTGCTGAGGGGAGCAGTGGGCAGATCAGGAGAGGTCTGCCACGCCAAAAACTTTATAATCTAATTTTAAAATTGGCATCAAGTTAATGTGGCTTAACTATCTAGTTTTGGTGGTTTTTTTGGCTTTACATGAAATGTTCTTGATCAAAAAGATTCTATTCCTCTACTAAAAATTCTTACTAATAAGACTAATGAAACATACATAGTGAGAGATTAATGTGATATTTTGTCCTATGTTTTTAAGTATAAAGTATGACCTTTTAATATAAGATCCCTATATTAAAGATATATTTTATTTAAGGCTGTAAAATCTCTATGTAAATTCAGATTCTTAGGTGCAAATAGAAACTTTGCTTACCTTAACAGAAATTTACTGGGGGGATATTTTGTATCACTAACTAATAGAATGGTAGGAAAATCAAATGTAAAAAATGAGCTGGAAGCCAAAATGGCACAGTCAGGGTCACACCACAGAAGCAATTTAGACTGGATCTGCTACATGTCACCTATACAGACTCAACCTCACAGCTATAAATAATTGCTAACCGTCCCAAGGGTTTACCACTGGAGTTTTAGAGTCCTAGCAAGATTGATGAATCCCAGGACACATTTCCATGCCTTTGATGCGAAGGGAAAGGAAAAGAGCTATCTGGAGTCCTTTGTTTTATGTAATGTAAGGCAGGATACTGCCTTTTAGTAAAACAGGGGATTTCCCTCCAGTAGCAGTTTGGATGCTCAGTAGCCAAGAAAATGAACTTATTGTTCACTGTGATAGACTCACTTGGCTGTCCAACATCCATGTATATATAACTTCTTCCCACACATACCCTTTTTTTTTTTTTTAAAGATTTATTTATTTGTACATACAGAACTGGGGTACAGGCCAGAGGCTTGACCAGAGAGGCTTCACCAGAGACAGAGTGGGGAACAGAACAGGCAGATCTACGAAGTACACTGCTGAGGGGAGCAGTGGGTGAGTCAGGAGAGGTCTGCCACGCCATGTGCTCACCTCCGAGGGAGTCGAACTCATGTGGAAGTGGCTTTAATTTCTTAGTGCTGTGCTTTAATCCGCTGCGCCACCAGGGAGGGCCTCACATACCCTTTTTTGATGAAAATTGGTTCTGGCCTAACCTAATGCAGATACCACAATACAAGCAAAAACGTAATCATCATTCCCTTCCCTTTGGGTGATGAGCGTGTGTTTTCTTACGTCTAGTTGCAATTTAAGATAATGTCCATTTTTATACTAGTTTTATATGATCTTATATCAGTATTATGCAATCTGTAGTTATATAGTTAGCGTTTTTAAATAATGGAAGTAAGCTTTAGAGGAAAGAAAGGGGGAAATTAGCTAAAATAAAGAATATACACATGACAGGAAGTCAGGAAATGTGGCCAAAACTGATACTTAAGGCTTCCCTTCTTCATGTTCTTAATCCTTCAAATGGCACCACAGTATTAAAGCTTCTTTACCCAGTAGCATGACCCAGACCTTTACCTTAAGAAATCACAACTCATGATAGATAGTACTGTCTGTATAATATTGAAGTAGTCTTCTGTAACCTTTTGCTCATTTTATTATGAAAAATTTGTAATGTAAACAAAAGTATAATGAACTATGTTCCTATCACCCAGCTTTCAGTCATAAGCAATTTTATTTTTATCTTTACTTCTACCCACTCTAAAGCTTAATATGAAGCAAATGCTAGAAATATATTTTATTCAGAGATATGTTTATCTCTAAAAGATAGGCTTTTTATAAGCATAACTGTGATACATTATCTCATATACATAGTAATTCCTCTTATTAAATATCTAGTCAGTATTCATGTCTCCTAAGTATCTTGTGTTTCTTAAGAGTAAGTTTTCATGAATTGAGTCAATAAAATGACATATACTCTGTTAGTTTATTGTTCAGATTATACATCCCCCCCACATTGTGATATTGAGCTTACAACAAAAGCATGATTCTTCTGGTGATATGTTATATAACAATGGTGAATCCCATAAACATTTACTAATCATTCATTTGTTGTAGAGTAAGTTTCTTGAAAAAGTGGTATTGGGTAGGACATCATGGATGAGTGTGAGGCACTTAATAATCATAAAAATGATAGTGCTGATAGCATGACATTTGGCAAAAACAATTCCAAAACAAGATTAGTATCTGTTCTAGTAAGGAAACATCTCAGCTTCTCTGTGAAGGGGTCCAGTATTGCTGGCTGATCCCTCCAGGCTATGGTTCAGAAACAGAGTCTCACATTTTATGAGTCTTGGTAGGAAGCCAGAATCTATATCCATTTATAAAAACCTTGACCTTCAGGTGCCTAGATATTCTCACTCCTTCCCAGGACAGCTAGGACAATAGGCAGGTTTGGCCATATGCGAGGCTGCGGCTTGTTAATAATAAAGTAGCAGTGTGTAAGTTCATGTAGGTCAGTTATCTCTAAATTGTTATTGCTGTTTTGTAGAAGCCATCCTGATGTTCACAAATACAGTGTGGAGACTGTACAGTGGTATCCTCATGACACTGGCATGTTCATTTCAAGTTCGTTTGATAAAACTCTGAAAGTATGGGATACAAACACATTACAAGTAAGTACATAAAAAACTTTCCTGATTGTTCTGGAGGAAAAGGAGAGTTTAATCCTAAACCATCCTGCTAACATGTTATATGTGTTAGAAGTGAAAGCAATATTGTGACTATGGAGAACTAGACTAGTTGTGTTCATAGGTTGGCTCTGCCGTGGACACACTAGTGACACTGGGCAAGTGCGTGAACCTCTGTGTGTTCCAACTTTCTCCTTACAAATGTAGGGTAGTGATTATATCTTACAGAATGGTTGTGAGAGTTAAAGGAATCATGTGTCAAGGACTCAGAATATGCCTAACGTATAGTAAGTGTTTAAATGCCATTAGCTATTCTTACTATCTTTAGTATTTGAAAACTACTGTGGTCTAGTGGTCAGAGGAATAAAATACTTTGCCTACTGAAAAATCCTATTGCCTACTGCTCTAAAAACTTAAAGGAAAAGAAGATTACTGATATTATAGAACAGTAAAGGTAGATAGTAGAAAATAATTTTTAAAGTACTTGGTGAAATTTACACTTCTATGGCTAACTTTTTCCCAGAACTGTAGTCCTATATGTCTCTACCTGTGTGCAGAACCTCTCTTAGAGTCATGTTAATCACATTCCATTTGGAACTTAACATGTTCCAAATGGAATGTGATTACCTCTTGCATCCGTGAGATACTCATATTTCCCTTTTATGTTTCTCTCACCTCATAGTATATTTAGATTACTACTAACAAGTTTACTTTCCTTCCCGTGTTGCCAGCGTGAATATTACCCCAAAAGTAATCTTACTGTAAAGTGGTTTGATTAATTGTGTCTATGCCCAATCCCTTTCATGACTCCCATTATCAAAATTTAGCCTGGGTTTCTAGATTTTCTGTAACTGCACCCCCTACTATTTAAACCTTAGTCTCTACCCTTTTTTAACATAAATGATTTGCTGCCATTAAGTTTGTATTTTACCTTCTGATCACAACTTGATTGTATTGTTTGTATCAACTCATATCCCTTCTCAATGCAGTTTATTTCCTGTCTAGTTCATTTTGAAACTGGAAATTTGCACCCTTTGACCAACATCTTCCCATTTCCTCTACCCCACCTCTACCCTCTAGCTCTTGGTTACCACCACTTTATTATTTCATAGTTTAGCTTTTTAAAGTGATTTGTAAGTGAAATCATAGAGCATTTGTCTTTCTCTAACCTATTTCACTTGGCACAAAGTTTTCATAATCCATCCGTGTTGTCACAATGATAGGGTTTCCATTTTTCGAAATGCTGAATAATATTGAATATGACATCATATTTTTTCATTATGTCATGGATTCTTTAGGTTGTTTCCGTGACTTGACTATTGTGAATAATGCAGCAGTGAACATGAGAGTATAGCTATCTCTTTGAGACAGTGATTTCATTTCCTTCAAATATATACCCAGAATTCGAATTGGTAGATTCTAAAGCAGTGCGTGTTTAGTTTTTTAAAGAATCTCCATACTGTTTTCCATAGTGATTGTACTAATTTACATTCGCAACAGCAGTCACAAGGTTCCCTTTTCTCAACATCTTCACCAGTACTTCTTATGTTTTTGATAGCTGTTCTCACAGGTGTGAGGTAATATCTCATGGTTTGGGTTTGCATAAATCTAAGGGCTTCCTGAATATAATGTGTCTTCTGCAAATAATGACAGCCCGCTTCCTTTCCAATTTTGAAGCCTTTTATTTTTTTCTTGCCTAATTACTCTAACACTCATAGTACTGTTTTGAATAAAGGGAATATTGTGGCTATTTTGATTTTTTATCCAGACCACTGAAACGTTCTCAATATTAACAATAAGACTGCCTCTTCTTTACCATTTGTGTGTCCACTGAAGTAACTCTTAATTTCCTTAAAGATGTTTCCTTTGCATTACAACTTGGTTGTTTGGTACAGGGTTTAATGGTAGTAAATGTGTCCTGGGTATGCTAGCTAAGACGTATGCGGCTGAGAAGCAGAGTATCGGCTTAATCAGCTATGTCGATGCTAAAGTCTTTGAGAATGGAGTTGAAAAGAAGATGATGAGTCAGATGCTTATCTTTTCTTAGTTTCTAGGACTTATTAATAAAAGACTATTTTCCCCACAATGTTATAAATAATAAGATTTTAAATTACCAGTTTTTTAGCAGTTGCAAAAGAAATGATATATATACACACATAATGTATATATATGTGTGTGTGTGTATATATATATATACACATAATGTGTATATGTGTGTGTATATGAGTGTATATATATATATATACACACACACACATATATATATGTATACACATAATGTGTATATGTGTGTGTATATGAGTGTATACATATATATATACACACACACACATAATGTAATACTACTTCAGCCAAAAAAGAAAAGTGGTATTTTCCCAGTTGTGGCAACATGGATGGAATTATAAGGAACTGTTAAATGAAATAAATGAGGGGAAAGACAAATACAGATGATACGCTCACATGTGGATTATAAAGGAACAAAGCAAAGGAACAGCTAAAACCAAACTCAGATAGACCCATAGAGTTTAACTAAAGGCTGAGGCCACAAGAAGGGGGAGAGGAATTGAGAGAAAGGGTAGAGGGGCCCACTGGACTGAGGGTTATTTGTACTTTGGTGCTATGCTAACGTACACTTGAAGTGGTATGACCTGAATTATCGGTTCTGAAACATAAACAGAATTGTGAACCAACATTATATCAATGAAAATAAACTTACAAGTTTCTTGAAGATGCTAATATTCCTATGTTAAGTTAAGCAATCAAATTGCTAGCAATCAATTAAAAATTGCTGACCACTGAAAATAAGAAAACAGAATTTTTTTGCTTTTGTGATTGTATTTAGAACTTACACTTTAAAAATATCTTTTGATTATCAGACTGCAGATGTATTTAATTTTGAAGAAACAGTTTATAGTCATCATATGTCTCCCGTTGCCACCAAGCACTGTTTGGTAGCAGGTTTGTACCTGTATTGCTTTGTTTTAAACTTTGAAAACCTCCATTTTAACTAGTTAGTTTTGATATAGACATTTTAAGTCAGATGAAGATCACAATTCTTTTTAAAAATAAGTATATGCTACTATTTACATCTAGTTTAACAGATGCTCTGTGAAGCAGACACTGTACTAGCTAGTGGCTAAGTTGAAAGATTATGGAAACACATTTCTGAAGACTTACTTTGAAACTACTAAAGTGTCAAAGATTTTACATCAACAAAATTTCACAACTTTTTCAATTGGACATAATAAAACATGAAAATATTTCCTTTCTCTTAAGATTATATGATTAAAATTTAACACCCATTTATATGAAAATCCCATAACAAAGGTTTTCAGGAGAAAACTTGTTCTTCAGGTGTTGGGTCTCTGTGGTGCCGTTATACCTGTGACATTGTGGCACTACCCAAATCTTCACTTCCAGACATCATTTAGCTGCCTTATCTAGAAGGAAGAGCTGGACACTAACTTGCTATATAAAGTCTGTTTAGTCTGTGTTCAGAGTTTCTGTGAATCTTTAGTGATAATTAAATATATTATTAACTTGAAAGTACATTATTAACATGAAAATAGCAAACTATTAAAGTAAAATGAATTGATGTCATAAAATAGAACAGAATTGTATACATCTTGTAGCAATACAAATTTCCCGGGTTTGATATTTGAATTATATAACTAACACATAACCTTAGGGAAATCTAGATGGAGGGAAATAGATCCTTCTACACTGTCTTTGCAACTTCCTGTATATCTGTAATTATTTCAAAATGAAAGGCTAAAAACCGTGTAATACTTTTCTTAATACTGTAGTTACAACTAAAATAATTTTCTAATTATAAACAATAAAAACAATGCCCTGTATTTTTATCATACATTTATATATTGATACTCTGTATGGATACAATGAAAATACCATAATTCATGATGATGATACTTTCTTATTTCTTTTTGATGATGACTTATAACAAAATTAACCTAACAATTTTTTTGTTTGTTTTACTTTCAACAGTTGGTACTAGAGAGCCCAAAGTACAGCTTTGTGACTTAAAGTCTGGATCCTGTTCCCACATTCTACAGGGTATTTTTTTATTTGAAACAACAAGTACTTTGAGTAAACCATTCAATAAAAAGAAACATTACTACAGTGTATTCTTTGTAAGAGACTTGACTGATGTATTTTGTGCTAGTTGTTAAAAATCAACAGGGAAATAAAGATCCTTCTGTGCATTATTCTTATAAAACTGAACTATTGAGGAGAGAGTTATGTGAACAATGGCCATAGGGAAAGCTCAAAGGATACGGAAGGTCTAATTGAAAGCCTGTGTTTTTTCTACATTTTAAAAAATAAACTACTTATGAAACTTACATTAGTACTTGTTACATGAGCATTGTTTTAATTTTGTTTTGTCAGGGTAAACATTCTTAATATTTAGGACCTTTTATTTTCAATAAAGATACTGTAAAATAATCATATTGTTTGTTGTAGGTATATTCCCTTAAATTATCTTTGGTATTTTTTAAAGTCAGTATTACATCCTTTAATTCTAAGCAGTATAAAATGAGATGTCTCCAGATATGTACATTTTTATTTATCTCTAAGTAACATAGTATTCCAGGAAAATATGGTGAGATGGGTAGTGTTTAATTTACATTATCATGAATTTCTATTTTCATAAGATAAAAATACCTGATTAATTAGGTATCTAATTCAATTTGGTAAAGTTAACTATAACGCTGAAATTATTTACCCTATGCTTTCCAGAAAAAAAAAAAACTTGCTATACAAATGCCTTAAAATATTTTTCTTTTGTAACTTTCTGAAAATATAGTAGACATATTTTATTCTTTAGGATATTTTATGTGGCTAGTGGCAGTGACTTTTGTTGTAGAGATAAGTCAGTGACCTATATCACTATTAATGTATTGACTTAGTAGACTATTTTTAAAAAATAAAGGTTCACTTGTTCTGGCCTTTCCAAAGCAAAACCAGATGTTTTCAAATAAAATACTATGAGTGAAGAATACCGTGTAGACTACATGTTAATAATTAAACATAGATTATTATAAATGTGAAAAGAATCATATAAAGTATATCAGTGCTTAGTCTTCATGTTCATTAGAATCAGAGAAAATTAATCAAGCTGTATCTAGATTTTTTTCAAATATTTTGTAAGACTTTTTAAACAGTTGTATTTATAGGTCACAGACAAGAAATATTGGCTGTTTGCTGGTCACCGCGTTATGAATATATCTTGGCAACTGCAAGGTAAAATGCAAATTATTCAGTTTTGAACTTAATAATTAATGTAAGCATTTTAAAAATACTATAACATGCATATTTAGTTATGAAAATAGGATTTTAAAGTAATTGTTATATATCTAAAGTAATTTCATATCACCAGAAGAAAACTTCTTTTGTATTGTAATCTAATCCTAGCTATATATTTTGAAGGTGCTCACCTTCTAAAGTAAACATGAAAACAAGAACCTCTATGGAGTAATGCAAATATACTAGTATTACCTATAAACAACTGTGCTGTGATGTTTTTGCATACAAGTCTAGCACTCTGTTAATTTGGAATTAGTAGCATTTTTTTTTTCATTTCCTTTCATCCAGAGTTATTTTCAGTACAATTTAGCACACACTTCCATTCATGATTCAATTTGCTAGTATGTAATGAAAACATACCTATATTTCCAAAGCATTTTGCCAGAAACACAGAGGTAACCATGGAAGAGTCCCTTGAAGAAGCTAAAAGTTTAATGAGCAATAGAGTCAGAAAAATAGATAATTACAGAACATTTAAAAAATGTTTTCATAGAATTATATCTCCACTAGGTGTAATATGAAAAAAGATCTAGAACACTTAATTCTGAGAAGACTTAAGGGACTTGGGGGCTCTGTTTTTTAGAGGAAAGAGTCTTAATATTGAAACGCAAAGCAGAAAGCACCAGTAAAGAGAAATTAGTGAAAGCTAAGAGTTGGAGGGAATAATTTAGTGCTTCGGAACCTGCAATAGACAGGAAAGATAGAATCCAGAGTCCAGATAGAAGGGTGACTCATGATTTGACACATAAAGGGAACTGTGACACTAACTGCAAGGGAGGAAGGTGGATGTGAATATGTAGCTTTGTCAGAGAGGTTCAAGAATCAAAAGTAATTCCTAATATTTTTTAGTGGAGTAGAACTTGATGTTATCATCTACTGAAAATATTGGGGTGAAAAACAAATTTGAGGAAAGGCAGTAAAGTTTTGGAGAATGGGAGCGGGGAATAGAAGGGGCGCATAGGATTACTGTTGTGTGTGTTGCATGCTCAGTAGAAGGTATAGCCCACAGCTGAAAAAGCCACAAATTCCCAAACAAAAAACAGACCTGATAGTTATCATTGTTTAATGGAAAGTAGCTCGTGTCTGAAAATTGTTAAAGCCATGGACAAAAGGAAGAAAACAAAAATTACCAAAAGGCTTATAGGAGGGATCAAGGACCTAACAAAATACAAATATGAATAGTATGGAAATAACTTAACGAAATCTAGTCAAGATTTTGATACAGGCATTTTAATAAAACCTGTAGAAGAATTATTATAAAACCTGTTCATATTATAAAGGTGTACTTCTGGAATTTTATAGCCACCAGCCCTCCTTATCACTGTTTAGTCACCAAAGAAACTTATGTTAATAATTCATAGAATGTGATACTGAAATTTATGGTTTCCGAAGTTGTAGATAAGCAAGGTCTAGAAAGAATCAGAAGCTGACTAAAGAGATATGAAGGTGGGGAGCTAGGGTGCTAATGGTTGTCTCCATGCTTTACTAGATTTACATTGCTCATACCTAATGTTCTTCAAATTAGAAGCTAAGAGACTTTCAATTTGGAGATTATCCCCAGGTATTTGAATCAATACCAGAGTGGACCTAGTATTCACTATTTGGTGTCAGATATATTCAAAGCGAATTCATTTCTGAAAAAAATTAAATCTCACACTCATCCCATTGCAGATGCTTTCCCCAGCTGGAAAGAAAGAAAAACAACTAGAGAATGGAATTACTAGCTTTTTGCTAACTCTTCTAATTGGATAGGGTTGAACCACAGTCAGTTATAAGACCAGAGCTCTGTATAAAAAATAAGAAGGATTTATAAACAAGAAGTAGGCTTATGAAATACAATTTAATACTCCTGTTTAAAATTACTACAATATTGTGGGTGGTTAGGATATTGCTTAAATCTCCATGATAGCACTAGTTGAACTGATTTATATTTTAAGAATAACTTTGAAGTTGAAAAGTGTCTAATTTCTAGGAGACATTAAATTTAATTCTTGTATATCTGAGTAAGATTGATTTGAGTGCAGGAAACCAAGTGATACTATATTGTGCTCATTTATCAACCTTATCCTCAGTTGTGTTTTATATAAAGAATAAAAACACCTAATTTGTGCCAAGTGGGTTTTTAAAAGCAAGTGAAATTAGTTAGCTAATTTCATTTGATTATCTAGACAACATTTGAGTAACAAACTGTAGCAGGGATATAGTAACAAACTTGCTCCAGGCCAGGTGCCAACCTAGGCTTTGTGAGGAAAGGATGCACCTGTCATTAGAATCAACATAAAAAGCCACAGAAACCTGCCCCTCATGACCTCCAAAAGATTGCTTTTTCCCCATATTTTTTCCGCTTCTTTGTGCTACTACTTACTATTTAATATTTGCTGAAAAGACCAAAGTGCAGCAATCCAAATATACAAATACATTTGCACTAATATTTGAATCCTCTGTGTGCCATTGTAGTGGGAGAATGAGTGGGAGTGCAGTACTGTTTTAGCTACCTATTAGTGTAACATCCATTTCTTCTCAGTGCTGACAGCAGAGTAAAATTATGGGATGTGAGAAGAGCATCAGGATGTTTGATTACTCTTGATCAGCATAATGGGAAAAAGTCACAAGCTGTTGAATCAGGTAATGAATGCATTAATATAGAAATATGCCATTAATAGTTCTTTTATATTGAATGTTTTGAATTGAAATAAACAGGTCTTGACAAGTTACAGATTTTATTTTTTTAAAGGCATTCACCATAAATTTTTCTAAATTTACATAAACTATATTGTGTTTCTTTTTTTTTTTTTTTAATATTTATTTGTACATACAGAACTGGGCCAGAGGCCAGAGTCACAGGGGTGGCTAGAGGATTCACCAGAGACAGAGTGGGGAGCAGAACAGGCAGATCGAGGAAGTACACTGCTGAGGGGAGCAGCGGGCCGGTTAGGAGAGGTCTGCCACGCCATGTGGTCACCTCCGGGGCAGGCGGGAGTGGAACTCAGTCAGAAGTGGCTTTAGCTTCTCAGTGCTGTGCTTTAACCCGCTGCGCCGCAAGGGAGGGCCAAACTATTGTGTTTCTTCAAGATACAATTAAGTATGCCAGTTCATCTGCCCCTGGTTTTTCAGATGTAGAAACTTCTCTGGATTTGTTCTGCTTTATTTTTTTTTAAGAATTATTTATTTATTCATATAGAACTGGGGTACAGGCCAGAGATGTGGAGGGTGAGAGGATTCACCAGAGACAGAGTAGGGAGCAGAACAGGCAGATAGAAGAAGTACACTGCTGAGGGGAGCTGTGGGCGGGTCAGGAGAGGTTTGCCTCGCCATGTGGATCTCCTCCTGGGCAGGCGATCGAACTCAGGCGGAAGTGGCTTAATCTTCTTACTGAGTGCTGTGCTTTAACCCGCTGAGCCACCAGGGAGGGCCCTTGTTCTGCTTTATTTTAATGAGGCCAAATAATTCAAGTCAGTTCCACTTAGGAAGTTATAATAAATTGAAGAAATTGTAGTATATTGTGGCCATTAAATCAGAATAAAGCCTACCACTTTTGTTAAGTATGAATCAGTTTGCAATCCAGGTGACAAAGTCCATCGATTGCATGTCTACAATAGAATTTAATTGCTGTTTTGATTAATTCAGAGTCATCTGAATTAATTATGGACCAGAAATGTATTGTTTCTTCACTAAATTTATCAGGCTACGGTTGGTTAGGCTTTCTCACACTTGTTTGTTTTGAAAGTAATATAAATTTTGATTGATACTAGAACAGTTATCCTTCCCCTATTAGTTTTTTTAAATAATCCTAGTAAGATTTTTAATAGTCCAAGAAATTAATGACTTAGATCAAAACTTGTGTGTAAAAAGTTTAAAAGGTGCTTAATTTTTTTTTAAAAAACTGGGGTACAGGCCAGAGATGCGGAGGGTGAGAGAATTCACCAGGGACAGAGTGGGGAGCAGAACAGGCAGATCACGAACTACACTCATTTCTAGGGCGAGCAACTACACTTCTAGTGCCAGTAGCAGGTGGGTCAGGAGAGGTCTGCCTAGCCATGTAGTCACCTCTGGGGCAGCCGGGGATCTGGGATCGAGCTCATGCGGAAGTGGTTTAAGCTTCTTAGTGCAGTGCTTTAACCTGCTGCGCACCAGGGAGGGCCTAAAAGGTGCTTAATTTAAAATTTACTGCCAATTTATATCCATTTAATTGATAGCACAGCTTATTCTCTGAAAAAGAAATGAAAATTGCCAGAATTTTTCCCTTTAATTTTCCTTTATTTTTATGATTCTAACATAACAATTTACCATATTCTGATCATCTAAAGATTATTTTTAAATATAATGAACTATATATATATTTTAAAGATTTATTTATTTATGCATACAGAGCTGGGATACAGGCCAGAGCTGCAGGGAGGGTGAGAGGATTCACCAGAGACATAGTGGGGAGCAGAACAGACAGATCAAGGAAGTATACTACTGAGGGGAACAGTGGTCGGATCAGGAAAGGTTTGCTGCACCATGTGGATCACCCCTCCTGGTGTGGGAGGCTAAAGTGCTGTGTTTTAACCAGCTACTCCACCAGGGAGGGCCTGAGCTATATAATTTAAGTAATTCAGATAGTTGTAATTTATGGATTTAAATAACTATACCATCAGGTATGTGCTGGATACCAGAATAGATAAGTTGAACTGTATTTTTTTTATTACAGCAAATACTGCTCATAATGGGAAAGTTAATGGCTTATGTTTTACAAGCGATGGACTTCACCTCCTCACTGTCGGTACAGATAATCGAATGAGGCTTTGGAATAGTTCCAATGGAGAAAACACACTGGTAAGAGATTTTAAGGCCCTTCAATCTTCTGTATATAAATTAATGGATCTGTGATAGATAGTTGATGTCTTTCTAAAGCTTTAACTTCATTTCTTTTCTCTGGAGCACAGCTTAAACTTACTTCTAACGTATAATTATTTATAAATTTATAAAAATACTATTGTGAATCTATGTTTTATTAAAGTCTAATTTCTAAATTCTCAGATTTTCTTCTCACCCATTATTGAATCATCTTGAGGTATGGAAACTACCTAGAGTTCATTTGCCTTAGAGTAAAAACAAGTACTGATAGAGAAAATTCAAAGGCAGCTTTTAGCATGACAAAAGAAAAAGTTTTTCAAAGTTGCTATTCTGGTCTTATAGTTTTAGCTATTGTCAATGTCATTCAGTGTACTATGAAAACCTTGTAGTGTGTGACACATAAGTGCTTAGTACTTTAGCTCTGTGGCCTAAAATGATTCTCTTAAATTTGCCTTAATTTGCAATTTTGTTTCTATCCTGGTTGAAATGTCAGCATTTGCCCTTGTTATTTTTTTTACTGTTTGACTTTCCCTCTTATGTGAAATGTTCATTTATATCTATCATTGGCCCTTGTTTCCAGTAGGATATTTTTCATTCCCATTAGATTTTATAGAGCCCTATCTATCATGTAGATTTGGAAATGAGTGACTTTATGATTTTATATCTTACAGGTAAACTATGGAAAAGTTTATAATAACAGTAGAAAAGGATTGAAACTTACTGTCTCCAGTGGCTGCAGTTCAGAATTTGTTTTTGTACCATATGGTAGCACCATTGCTGTTTATACAATTTACTCAGGAGAACAGATAACTATGCTTAAGGGACATTATAAAAGTGTTGACTGCTGTGTGTTTCAGTGTAATTTCCAGGTGAGAATAATACTTAAGGGAACTTACAATGTTCAGGTAGCTGGCTTGCCAGACTACTGTTATATAAAATAGTAAGTATGCTTTTATTCTGAGGAATTATACTATAATCCATATTTGAACTAGGGTTTATTTAAGAGAGGGAAATGCAGCATAGATTTTTAGATGACATATAATGTATATATTCATTGATACATTATACAACTGGGACAAATTGTTTTGCATGTGACTGTAGTTTAGTAGTAAAATCTCTGGCAAATTGATGTTTTGTGAACAATTTGGGGGGAAAATGAAATAGTATGATCTAATTTCAAAATATTGATTTATGTGTGTGTGAGTCTAAAATTTTATTTTCTGCCAGTATTTAATAAAAGTTTACTTATGAGTTGGTACAACCTATACATTAAGATCTGTGACTTCAATTTATTTAATATCTTGACCTTTCTCTTTGATTTCATCAATAGAGTAGGTTGTTGTTTTTCAGACAACAGAGGCACAAATTATTTTGTATGCTCATTTGAGTTTAATATAGCCACGACTTGTATTTGTCCCACTTTGTAGGAAAGGAAAATTAGACTTGTGAAATTTAAATACTGATAGAGTGAAAATTATAGACTATGAGAGCTAAGAGGGGCTTCCCTGGTGAAACTAACTTATTTGTTCATTAATACTAAGTATTTAATGTATACCTGACTCTCTGCTCTAAGATAATACAGGGTAGATTTTTCAGCCTGCCCATAGTATGATAATATCTATTTAAAATATTCAAGTATATACCCTTATATCTATTAAACAGCTGTTGCACCAAGACCCCAACCCATCTTTAATACTTTTCCCTGTGTCGTCCTACATCTCTCCTCAACCAAAAACTAAAAGGGACCTTCGAGATCCTGCTTCCATTTTCTGGCCAGTAGTGGGCCATGTCCTGGTGTAACAGTTGTTAGATATCTTAAGTGTTAATTTCTGAAAGAAAAAAGTAAAGCATCAGATAGTTGGCTAGACTTACCTCAAGTCTGTAGATAATTATTGACAGAGCCTGATTATCTATTCAAAGAAATTATTAGAATAATTAGATATCATTATCTTATTCACAGTCACTTAGAAAGACAGCCAAGATTTTACTTAGGTCTTCTGACTACAAACAATTGCTGTCCACAAAATTAGAGCTTCCTAACAGGTTTACCTAGAATGAATAAAAGCCAAGATAACAAATACCCAATCCCCTCAGTCTCTGTAATAATTAGGTCAAATCTGGGTCAGACAGAAACTTGGGGCCAATATAGAGACATAAAAAATCAGTATGTTATTTTAAACTAGACTTTCTTCTTCTTCTTTTGCTCCAAAGGACATCATTGGGACAATAGGTGTAACTTAAATGCGACCTACTACCTCATGTTAATACATCAGCATGAATTTTCCGATTTTGTTTTTGCATTGTAATTATGTAGGAAAATGTTTTTATTCACAAGAAGCATACATTGAATTATTCAAGGATGAGGGATCTCAATGATTTATTCATGTTTTAGGGAAGAAAATTCTTTGTATTGCTTTTGCAACTTTTCTGTAAGTTTTAGGATTGTTGGGTGTTTAAAATCTAAATTTCCCAAGTGAATCCCTCAAGTCCCTCCATGTAAGTGAGGTCCTTATTATTTAAGGTGCTGCCTCTTCCCATCTTTCTTGAACACTTACAGAACTTTATGTATCTATCAGTACAACAGTACTTATCATGAATTGCCTTGTAAGATTATCCAACCAAGTTATCTTGGATATATATCATGCCTTCTTAGGAAATTAAATTGCTCAGGACACTGAACATCTGAAAATAATATTGTTTTATCCAAGACTAATATAACCATTTAGTCTAGACTTAAAAGTATAGTGTATAGAATTTTGTTCTTTTTACAAGATTTGTGTGTAACTAAATCTATTTCATTTATTTTTCTATCTCCATATTTCCTATAACTTCTTAAATATTATTTTCCCTTATCTTTAGAGCAGTTCTGACAGTGTCGTGCTTCAGATAGTTTTTGAGGACCCTCCCTGGTGGCGCAGTGGGTTAAAGCACAGCACTATGAGCTATCACAGCCATTGTAGCACCAGTTCAATCCCCAGCCAGGGAGCTGACCCACATGGCGTGGCAGACCTCTCCTGACCTGCCCGCTGCTCCCCTCAGCAGTGTATTTGTCAGTCTGCCTGTTCTGCTTCCAACTCTTTCTGGTGAATCTTCGCACCTCTGGCCTATACCCCAGTTCTCCATGTATAAAATAAATCTTTAAAAAAAAATAGTTTTTGAGATGAACATTAAAAAAATAAATAATTGCACATCAGAGCAGGGAAAAAAAGATTTATTGTTAGAGATATTTTTATAGAAATACAGATATTTATTTGTGAAAGAAAAAAGTTTTACAGTTCTTTTAACATTTTGATTTTTCTTTTTTTTAGACCATTCTCTTTTGCATAATAACCTTTTTGTCATTGACATATGTTTTTCATCCTCTTGTTTTTTCACATTATTGGCTTATATCCTGTTCTTTTCTCTTTGTGATACTCATTTTGAATATTTTCCTATCTCATTAAGTATTCTTATATAGTATCTTGTTATCATACTTTCAGGCAGTTATTCCTTTTTATTATTATAACACTGAGATATCTTTGAATTTTATGTATGTCGTTGGCATGAGTTCTTAGAAATGTATGCCACAACTTTTGGTATATATTGAGGTTCTATTCTTCAAAAAGATTATACCAATTTATACTCTCTGTATATGAGAGTATTCATTTCACTGCCCCATAGGAATATTTTCACTGCTAAGCAATGTAACATATCCCTTAATTAAGTTTTGTTGGAAAGAGAAAAGGAGCATTGTTTGGCAGTTGTGCAAACAGCATATCCATAAAGACTGACATAGACTGTGTGTTAACCCAAGCTCCTCCCTGTGAAGTAAACTTCGAAGGAATATGGCTTGTGAGTCTTAAAGCTCTTTCATTGAGTAGCAGCCAGTTAAGCAGCTATGAACTAAAGAAACCTTTGTGAATTTTTGGTCTATTTTAGCTTGAAGAAACTCATATTATTATACTCTGTTAAAGGTCACTTTCATACTTCTTATTTTTCTCCCTCTAACACTTGAAGTGATGAAAACTATGATAAGAGCCACTAAAATTTTAAGTGTTATGTAAAATTTCACGTTAAAAAGCTCTAACATATCCTAATATTATTTTTAAATACAAAACAAAGCTTTACTACATCTTAAAGGGGGCATTGGCCTAGGTTAGTGGGGAATAGAAATAGAATTAATCTCATTGAGTTAACCTAAGAATTAATCATTTAAGAAATTAGTGAATTTTATTTCAGATTGTTACCAGATTTAAACCAATCACAATCACACCTTTGCTTTATGTGTTCCAGGAACTTTATAGTGGTAGCAGAGACTGCAATATTCTTGCTTGGATACCATCCTTATATGAACCCATTCCCGATGATGAGGAGGTAAATGATTGCACAAATCATAGTCAGTTCTATTTCTTGCTATTTTCTGACTGTAAAAGTGATTTGCCTGTTATAACACATTTGACAATTTAAGAAAAATATCCAAAGTTCATAGATTTCTTAAATTAGGAACAATTAACATTTTGATTGACTTTGCTCTTGCTTTTTCTTATGCATATGTGTTTTTTAAACATAGTTAATATTTTTAGACATACAAGTTGGTATCCTACTAACACTTACTATACAATAAGCCCTTTTCCATATCATTAGTAGCTATTTTAAGTATTATTTTACTAATACAGTATTGTTGTTGATATACCACAATTTAATTATTTACCTCATTGGAGACATTTCTTTTGATCATTATAAATATATTAAGGCGACTATTTGTTAATAAATTATTCATAATAATATAAATAAATTAAAAGTAAATCTTCAGAAGAAAACTAAATTGCTTAATGTATAGCACTACTATGACTGATGGTTTATTTCCTTACATAGTTATAGTTTGAACTACACATCTAGAAGAATTTATATATATATATATAAAAAATTAAGCAAAACAAGTAGAAAATCAAAGGTACACAACATTTAAATTCAAGAACTATAATCATTTACATTTAAATATTAGATCTATCATGCCTTATCTTTTAAATACACTGCTTATATGCTTTCATCAAGTCCTAATTCTAACCCCATTCTCATGGTAGTACAGAATGGCATGTGATGAGATTTATTTTCACAAAGCTTAGTTTTAAGGACTCTTGTGACTATAGATAGACCATGGCTGTGATCGTGATGCATGCCTGCCGAGAAGTCTGCTCCAGCCCTGCAGCAGGGGTCCCCACATGTGCCTCTGCTGTGTCACTCATACTCGGAAGTGTTTCATCTCAACTATCAAATGTTACAGCTTCCCATAGAGGCAAAATAACACAGTTCAAAACAAAACAGGACATTCATATACATACACTCACTTAGTCTTTGGTTTCAGGTAAATTAAATAAAAATAATACTGGGACCTGGGTTTAAAATTCCAGTTCTGTGATTCATTTGTGTTCTGGCACAAGTTTATGATATCTCCAAATATCAGAATCATCAAAGCAAAATTGTTCTTAGGTTTCCTTTCAAGTCTACCCTTGAGATGAGATTGACTTCCCAGCAACCAAGATATAACCCCCTAGGGTTGTTTGTTTTGATATCCAAGATAGAGGAGGAATTTAGTTCTACCCCAAGAAACCAAAGGAGCAAGGTTTATGGTCATTAAGCATAAATCCTATTATTTAATTGGCAGAATGTTTTATTGTATTCTGCAAATCTGGTTTTATATTCCCTCTGACTAAAACTTGGTCATGGTTAAGGCAAGCTACTCACTCTCCCAAATGTCTGAAGTGTGTAGGGTCCCATACTACAGCTTAAATTGATCTCTCATCAAGAACCTTTATTTTTATGGGCACAAAAAATAAAATTAAAATAAATAAATAAAACAATACATAGACATGCTCACATAGACACCCCTGTAATCAACCTATAAAGACTGTACCAGTGAGAAATTTAGAATTTATCAGGATGTATGGGCGAAAGTTGTTAAGTTTGATTTTGTTTTTTCATTTCATTATTTGGAGCTGTACTAGATCTTTTCTAAACTCCTTATCTCTATTACATTCAAAACTGTTAGAAGAACATGCATTCTGGTGAGGTGGAGATGGTTATGTTCAAGCATAGATCAAGTATCCACTAGGAGGAGATGTCATAGAGAAAATGAAAGTAACAGGTGGTAGTTTCACTTGCTCAGAAGATCTCAAACAAGTTACTACATCTACTTACATCTTTAACTATAAAGTTTTTTTGTGTGTGTTTTAAGCAATAACATGTATTTCTAATATACTATGTTACACTCATATTTACTGCTATAAACAGCAAAATGTAGACACAATTGCATTTTGATTTCCACTTATTTTTTTCTTTGTTCACTATATCATACTAGTTTACAATAAAATATAACTTTGCTTCTAGGTTACATCTTGAAATGAAATTAAAATGCTTCACATATTGGATTTTCATAGTAGATTAGGACACAAGAGCCTTGTGTGGTTTATCCACCTATAGACACTTTGGGTAGATATCTAAAGTAGTTAAAGACAGATCAGGAGACAGGAATCACCTAACCTCTCCAGAGACAATATAGTTGTGAATAAATGCTCACTAAATAACCTAACTTAAAAGTTAAATTATAGAGACCAAAAGATACGAAATTCAATAAACATTTTTTTAATAGTTTATTTTTACATCATTTTGTGCCTTTTCCCATCTCAGTTGTTGTTTTTTGTTTTTTAAAGAGATTTATTTATGCATACAAGAACTGGGATACAGGCCAGAGATGTGGGCGGTGAGTGGATTTACCAAAGACAGAGTGGGGAGAAGAACAGGCAGATCAACTGAAATACACTGCTAAGGGAAGCAGCGTGTGAGACAGGAGAGGTCTGCTGCACCATGTGGATCACCTCCCTGAATGGGGATCGCACTCATGCTTCAGTGGCTGCAGATAGCTCCACAGTGTTGTGCTTTAACCCTTTGTGCCACCAGGGAGGCCCCTCAGTACACATTTGGATTAAAGAATAAATGAACAAACTTCAGTATGAGACTCTTGCAAATAAGTAATTGCTGCTAAAAATAAGACGTTATCTGAGGTTTAGTAACAATTTTGTATCTAGACATCTGTGGCATAATGACATTCTGTTTTTACACCTAGATGTGGTAGTAAACTCTGATCTCTTTAACACCTACAAAAAAATGTCTAAATTGGGCCCTCCCTGGTGGCACAACGAACGGGTAAGGATGCAGCACTCCAAGCTAGCTGCAGTCCCATCAGTGCGAGGTTAATCCCCAGCTCCAGAGGTGATCCATATGGGGTGGCCGACCTCTCCTGACCTCTGCTGCTCCCCTCAGCAGTGTACTTCCATCAGTCTGCCTGTTGCACTCCCCTCTCTGTCTCTGGTGAATCCTCTCACCACTCCTGTACCCAGTTCTGTATGCATAAATAAATAAATATTTTTTTAAATGCCTAAATTAATATATTGTTTTCTAACTTTCCTCACTGACATTTGGGGAATTTACTGAGAATGCCAAATTTTGTGTTAGCATTGTTTATTTTAGAGTATTCTAAGTTATGTACATTAGTATTCTAAGTAACATTCTCAGACATACATTAGAAGTTACCCTTAACATGAAATATTATATGTTGCAAAAGGTAATACAGCTAAAATAATTTCAGTTTTGATGCTAATTTATTGCTATAAAATCTTCAGAGTGAGAGTTAAACCTTGCTCATAATGTTCAATTACTTCAAAAAAGGGTCCATCTTAGAGCCCTAGAGTCAGTTGCCAGTGAAAAAGAAGGTAATCAGTCAGTTTCCGAATAACTTTAACAGCTACAAAAAAAATGTCTAAATTGAGTTGATTTCAAATAACACAGAATTAAAATTATTCTAGTTGCTGATTACATTAATTAAGTATGGCTCTAAAATTGTAAGAACAATTTTATTATCTAAATGCATATTATTTTTCAAAGAAATCTCCCATAGAGACCTGTGTACTAACGATAACTATTTCTGACATATTTTGCAAGTGCTTCTGACTACCTTACTTGTACTATGTAAATAAACTCACTACTTAATAATATGCATTACTTTTTGGAGCAAAAATGGTTTTATTCAACTGAATGAACACCTTATTCCCCATATTTAGATATTTGCTTACTTATAAAAGTCAAGTCCGTTCAAATAATGAAAAGTTGCCAACATGAACATTTTGTATTTTCAAATTAAATCATACACCTGAGTCCAATCATAGCCACATAGGTGTTAATGTGCTACCTTCTCCAGTTGATTCCAAAGAGTTGCAAAAATGCCATAAGCAATAGCAGCATCATTATTTGTGTGTTGTTAACTACTTTGGAGGAAACAAATAATTTGGATAGTTTGTTGTGTCTGTTTAAAATGAAGTTACATTATCATTACATCATTACATTATTGTACGTGAAATGTTTCCTAATTACCTTTGTTGTGAATTTAACAGTTACATAGTTATTTTCTTTAAAAATAATCTAATTACTATTCACCTGACACATTTTATATTATAAATCTAAAATTACAAGGTAAAATAATGAACTCTTTCTCTCTTTTCCCCCCTTTTTAGACTACAGCCAAGTCACAGTTAAATCTAGCATTTGAAGATGCCTGGAGCAGCAGTGATGAGGAAGGATGAATATTAGTGTTTAGTTCCTTTGTATCTACTGGTAAAACTTCAGATGTGGGAATTTCTTTTTAATCTGTCTGTCCATTGAAGGCTAAATTAGCCCTGAATGTGTGTGAGTTTTTCACCTGATTGCTAACCTCACAAGGTATCTACAGAACTGTTGCTACAGTAGACGGAGACAAGTGATGGTATTCCGCTTCTCTTCACCCCATGTGGGACATGGAGCAGATTATATGAACAATAAGATGCAGACCCAAGGTTCAGCAAGTGGAGGTATAAGCATTCACTTTCTCCTGGAGGTATAAGCATTCACTTTCTCCCACTGGCTATATTACCACCCTGCTCATTTTCACTTTCAAGATAATTTTAGTAAAGATGATTGTATCAAAAGTAATAATTGAAAAGGTAACACCAAAATTATCTTAACCATTTTCAGGTATTCCATTTTCCCAATGATTTCATTTACTTGACCAGCATCAGTTCTAATGTTAAGATATTTTTAGATTCCATGCTTCCGACAATTCAAGAAGTTTCTCAGAGGAGGGTTTTAACTTGAGGAAAATCCCATGTTTACTGTAATGCTCCAGGTGGCAGCTCATTCTCATGCTAGGAGCCCCCATTTATGAATCTCATTAAGATGTGACCAAGTCCTACTTCATTCATTAAAGCAGAAAAATATGCTGACAAGGTTCTAGCTAAAACATGAAGTATTGTAAAAATTTCTATTTTATTGTTTCTCTTTTGTGTGTCATAGCTCAAGATGATTATCATAAAGGCAATCATATCTTTCTTACTGAGTCTATCAGTAGAAGGCTAGTAAAAGAAGTTTTGTGAACTTGATTACTAAACATGTTGTTGGAGAGTTTTAAGTATATAAATGTTAGAGCTACCTTCTGACCAAATGCTTTCCACTCACTCACTTTATAGTTGAATGTCTAGAACCCTGACCATTTTGTGTTCATTTTGTTCCTTCCTTGTTGAAGGAAATGCTCAGCCTTGAAGATACTTACAACCTTGAAGAAAAATGTTGAAACTTAAAATTATTTTTTTTTAATTTTAAGATAAATGAGGTCTTTCTCCAGGCTGTCAATAACTATGTTGCTTCTTTCTAATTATGTAAGTGTGCATGCTCATTAGAAACAATTCCAGCAGCATAGAAACTTACAAAAGAATGTAATGGTAACCCTGGGATCATACCACCCTAAGCTGGTATTATAGTGGCCATTCATCTCTTTATACACCTAGTTTGTGTAATAGGATGCTTATTTAGCATGTTATTCTGGGAGCTCCTGCCCCTATCTCCTACCCCTCCTGCCACAATCCGAGTTATTGACCAACTGTGTGCTCCTTCACATTACAGTCCTTTATGGACCTGTGTAGACATAAGTGGGGAAGTATTTTTTTTTTTTCTTGGCAAAATGAAATACACGATTTTGACCTTTTTCTTTTTCAGTTTTTGCTTACAAAAATATGTCTGTGTCATTTGCCATAAAATAATTGTTAATAGTTTACTATAGTTTCTTACTTCCCATATCCATAGTCTTGCAGGTGGGTCCTTCATCCTGGGCACATGGCCTCTTCCAGGACTAGCTCATCCTTAGGAGCATGTCTTTGATGAGAAAGCAGCCAATTCAAAGTACCCACTCCCAATCATTTTCTTTATCAGATTCCCATATATCAAGCCAATATTTCTCCTGTCCTAAATTGCTGGAGGGCCAAGATACCAGATAACTGGGGACAACCCATTACCCCTGACCCCACTAAAATTATTCAGGCTATGCAATCCTAAATTCAGGGTACCTCCCCTGCCTCACTCATTTTGCTCTCAAAACCTCCAGTAAAACCTAAGCATCATGCTCCTGCCTTTCCCTAGAGAGGAGGCCTCCTGACCGGCCCCGGTCCTTGTCCCTGTGCCCTGCATGGTGTGATGTATGTGACTATAAACTTACTCCTTCATTACAGCCATCTCTTTGTGTATCTTGCCATACATGATTAGAACAAATCCAGGTATAAGTCTTAACCTGGTTGGCACAGAAAATGGGGCTTGATACCAAATGAATATGATATGATCTTAAACTGCCTTTGGCTTACTACTAACTGCATCTAAAGTCAGTAGCCTCTGCCTGAAATAGCACCCATCATTGTTGGCCCGTTTGATGGCTTCTGTATTATGTTGTCAGCTATTGCCATGATCTCCCAACCTAAAGGGTGTACTCACCATTTTTCCTCACAAAGATGCTCCCAAGGTAACTTCTAGCAGGAAATCACATAAAAAAAAAGAGGGGGTGGGGTGTTAGGTAAGTCACAGAAAACTGGGACAGAAGGAGAGATGCAAAATCAAAGTGCAAGTCAAGATAATGGCTGCCATTGTCTGCCAGACCAGGAGCTACTTCTCCACATCTGTCTCCCACATATCTCCTCAAGTCTTCCCAGCAGTACCAGGGTGGAAGTTGGGCCAAAAGAGAGAGGCCTGCCTGCCTTCCATAGTATATAGATCCGTCTGTTTGCTCATTTCTGCCCCAGTTCCCAGCAAGAAGCTCATGGCACACTGGGACTTCTTGTGCTGGGCTGCTGCACGTTGCAAGTAGAGGAAAGGTACCCATTTTATGCTCTTCCCTCTAACACAGCTCATCACAGTAAGTATAAACCTATCCCTACATTTACATGAAAGAATGAATACTGAGTTTGCTCTTTAGCATCAGTCTTTTTAAATTTAAAACCTTCCTTAGGTTTGGAAGGAGTACATTAAGAAGTTAGCCTTATCATTCAAATGAATCCATTGGTCTGTTCATCCTGCTGACCTCAGACAGACAGTTATTTCATCAACAAAATGGGTTTATTTGGAAGAACAGCAAAGGCAATGTGGGAAGTGTACTCTTATGGTAAGACAGGCACATGCCTCCTGTCTTACTCAACCCAGTTTAGTTAAGTGTTGGCAGGGCTGTTGTAAACAAAGTTCATTACAGGAGGTTGGGAGTTTGATGAGAGGTGGCTGCTCACTCACTGGGCTACACATTCTCATTAGCTGAGTTGTTGCTGTACAAATAGGGACCTTCTATTGGGATGGGGAAGCAGCATCATTTCCTGGCAGAGAAGAAAAACAAATTGGGTCCTATAGTTTGCTGATTGCATACTGTGAAAACACTCCTAGCCTTCAGACCCATTTAAATAAGGTTTCTGAAATTAATTTGCAAAGCCAATAACAAGTTGAACACCAGTTATGTGTCAAACACCAGATCAAATCCTTTGCTGTACTCAAACATTTCCATTGAAACATTTCTATTAGCATCATTAAAGTTGAGAATGAAGAAATGGAATGAAAGGGATGCAATTCTTTAAAAACACAGGTTGAAAAAGAGATAAAGTTAAATATGAAAATAAGATAAAGTTGCAAAGGAGAAAATGAAGGAGTAGTTAGGGGAAGGAAACAGCATTAAATATTTACACACAGCAATTGGAAAAAGCCTCACAGAAAAAGGAATTTTGAGTAATGACCTGAGACGTGCAGGAACTGCCTAGCTATGCAGTTATCTGGGAAAGAATATCACGTACAAAGCTTTAAAGCAGGAGCACAGAAGGAGTATACAAGAATTGTCAAGCATGAAAGAAGTAAAATTAGGCCCTCCCTGGTGGCGCAGTGGGTTAAAGCACAGCACTGAGAAACTAAAGCCACTTCCGACTGAGTTCCATTCCCGCCTGCCCTGGAGGAGATCCACATGGCAAGGCAGACCTCTCCTGACCTGCCCGCTGCTCCCCTTAGCAGTGTACTTCGTCCATCTGCCTGTTCTGTTCCCCACTCTGTCTCTGGTGAAGCCTCTCGCCACCCCTGAGCTTCTGGCCTGTACCCCAGTTCTGTATGTACAAATAAATAAATCTTTAAAAAAAAAAGTGAAATAAGGGGGGGTAAAGGTTGGAGATAGTGTTAAATTAGGAAGAGGCTTGAGTCCTCCCTGGTGGTGCAAGGGATTAAAGCATAGCACTAAGAAGCTCACTGCAGCCACTGCAGCACTGAATTCGATCTCTGACCAGGGAGTTGACCCACATGGTGCAGCAGACCTCTCCTCTCCCACCTGCTGCTCCCCTCAGCAGTGTATTTCAGTAGATTCACCTGTTCTGCTCCCCAGTCTATCTGTGGTGGATCCTCTAACTGCCCCCCCTAACCTCTGGCCTACACCCCAATTCTTGTATGCATAAGAAAGTAAAAGAAATCTTTTTTTAAAAAAGGTGTGTGTGTGTATGTGTGTCTTGTAGGTCCCTTCCAGAGAGATGGGAAGCCATTGTAGATGTTGATCTCAAAAAGCAATCCGTTACAACAAATGTTATTTAGAAACAACAGTAAATTAGAAGACAGATTGGAGATTATGTTCATGGCAAGACCCATATTGAGGTTCTTGAATCCAAAGCTAGTAACCCTCTGCATAACCTCTGGAAGACGTTGCTCTCAGCATAGTTTGTCAGTTTACACATGTGCCATTTTCTAGCCTCCCAACCTCATTTAAGTAGGGTTATGAATATTCATGTTCATAGGAGATTATGAGCAGAAAACATCTGATTTGGGTTTGAACAGAATCACTCTGATGTCATTGTGGGGGAACTGGCTGAAGAACAAACAGAAGCAAGGAAACCAGCTAAGAGGCTGTAATAATGCAATCAAGGAATAGTGGCAATCCCAGGGTGCTGGCAGTGATGTGTGTATGTGGTTTGGATATATTTTGAAAACAGAATTAATGGAGAAAGGAATGAATCAAAGATGACTGTTCAAAGTAGTTGGCCTGAGCAATCAAAAGAACACTTGTTGTTAGGGGGAAGGATGTACTAAAAGAACTCTGCAGAGTCGTGTGGACTCCACTCCTACTCCAGCTTTCTGGTTTCCACCCCTTACTTCAGTGATTGGAAAACTACAACTCTCAGTAGTACCAAAGAGAGAACTGCGAGAATCCAAGGGCAGAGCTAAGCAGGAATTCTGGGACTTTGGGGGATAAAAATAGGAAGTGGTTTTCCAACTGGCACTCTAGAGAGGTAACAGTTCTCTCTCTCTGGAGCAACTGCACTCAGACCGTGTGACTGGGGGATAGTAGCCTGAGTTTGGAACTAGAGCTCCAAGTTAGCCTTGCTGGTAAAGTATTCCAGCTACTTTGTATCCCTCTTTCCTAACCTGGGTTGTTTCCTTTTCCTTTCCCCTTTTTGTAAATAAACCCATTATTGACCCTTTTGTGTATGTCTGCAGAATAACTGGATTTTGAGCATGAGTGAGGCACCACAGACAGGTGGCCCAAGTCCACTCTGGGCTACCCTATAACATTGCCACTAAATAAGGCGGTATGATACTGTGACTTAGAATGTGTTATACATACACCTGCCACATTTGGTCATTCACATGACCAAAATATCTGAAACATACTTTATATACGTTAGATTATTCACAGCTCCAAAGCTGTGAAACTTTCTGAGTGATAAGAGCAATGGGAGCATCTTTTGTCATATTTAGTCATCTTCAGTTCCTGATAACAATCCAAGTCCTAAGTTTAAATGAGTGTCTGGCATTCTTCACAGGCCCTTTAAATCATAACTGGGTCTATGTTAATGAAGGTGACTTTGGAAAGTATGAATGTGGCCTGGTTGCCAGAGAACCAACCATGAATGTAAGGTTAAAACTTTCAGTCCTTCCCATTGCTGTTTTGTTAATATATTACAGAGGAAGGCAGCAGCCTAAGCAGAGTTGGCCAGGAAGGGGAGAAAGGCTGGAGGCTGATTCAGTCACCAATGGCCAATGACTGTATCAAGGGAAACTATGTAATGAAGTCTCAAAAAGGAGGGGGGAGAGCGGTTGGAGCGCTTCCAGGTTGAGAACCAGAATGCTTCCACTTGTCATTGTGCCAGGCCCCACATTCCACTAGGACAGAAGCTTTTCTGTTGGGATCTTGCTTTGTTTATTCCTTCATCTGGCTGTTGATTTGTATCCTTTAATATCCTTTGTTGATTTGTATCCTTTAATATCCTTTGTAATCAGTAATCTAGTGAGTGTGTGAGTCTGCTGAGTTCTGTGAATAACTCTAGCAAATTAATTGAATCAAAGTTGTAGGGACCTCTGATTTATAGCCAGCTGGGGAGAAGCATAGTAATAAATTGGCCTTGCATATGGCCTCTGAAGTATAGGGTGGCCTTAGGAGACCTGTAGAATAGATTATCAAAAAGTAGGTAATGTCAAAATTGAATTGAATTCTCAGAAACCCTGTTGGTATCTGAGAATTCTTTGTAGGTGTGGGGAAGTCTACATACACGAGAATGCATCCAAGGATACATCCAGATAGGAATACAAGAGAAGGGAAACAATATACATTTAAACTTATTAGACATCTAAGAGGGGAGGCATCCAGGCAGTCAAGTCAAGACAGCATTTCAAGAAGATGGTCATCAGTGGTGTCAAGTGATACTGATAGGTCAGATGAGATCAGGACTGAAGCATGCAACTGGCTTATGCTCTCAACAATTATATCAGCTTCCTCACCAGAAGAGCAGTGAGTTTCTCCAGAAAATTTTCCCTACTAGATCCCAGTTTGATAAGAGTTTCTCTTTAGTGCTCTTCTGGCTCGCAATGTTTATCTATACAATAGCATTTAGTCATTCAATGAAAATATTTAACATTTGCCAAGTACGAGGCTGGCAATTTAACAAAATCTCAAAAATCTTTTGTCATGGGTTCCATTTTGATGGGAGTTTGAAGGGAATAGACAATAAGTGCTATGGAGAAAAGTAATTAAGGGAAAGAGGATGCAAAATACCAGAAGCTGTAGTTTTAGTGTGCTCAAAAAAGGTTTCTCAGCAAAAATTAGGAAGGATATGAAGGAGAAGCCATGTAGGTTTCTGGGAGAAGAACATTCCGGGAAGAGAATGAGACCAGAAGTCTTGAGGCTTGTCTGCCATGTCTGCTATTATCTGAGGAATAGCAAGAAAATCTGTGCAGCTGGATCAGTTAGTGTTAGGAGAGACCAGGGAAGTAATGAAGGGAAGTGGCAGATTGCAAATGGTCTTAGAGGCCATCAAGAAGACTTTGATGTCATCTCTAAAACAAATGGGTGCCAAGAAGAATGACATCAGGTCACAGTAGTCACTGGTTAATAGATCGTAGAATAGCTACATCAGTGACTAGAGCAGGTAGCTTGCTGCAATGCTATTGCAACAATCAAGGTAAGGTTAGAAAACAATTATCCAAACATGCTCAGTGCTCCTTTAGCAAGGCATATCCCTAAGTGATTGTCTGGGGAAGGCCTAGATATAGGGCTGGGGGTGGGGGGACACTAAGGTATAGTATAGACAGGAAATC